TGGTGATACAAGGACTGGAATGTCTAAGGAAACTGCTTTTGTGACTTCTTGTTAGCCAGTGTGGTGAAACAGAGGTTTACTTTTGTTGCTGGTGTGGTATATCCCATGGGGGATTAGTCACTAGTCTTGGGGTATATCTATCCTGTTTCTCAGCAGTTTGTCCTGAATTTGGTATTCTCAGGTGTGACCTACAGAGACACGGTTACACTAGTTTTGGTGCTGAGTATTTCATAAGGCCGCTGGGCAAGTAGGATTTAGGAGCTGCAGTGCTGAGCAGAAGAACACCTAAATATCTTTTAGGATCCAGGCCTATGTGCTGTTCAGAAGGTAGATCTGACCCAAAGATCATCAAATCTTAAAGACCAGACACTACACTTGGGTGAAACAAATGAGAAGGAGTGAGGAATGCAGCAATGCAAGCATGTTTTTTGCATATATTATATGCACACCTCATAGGTATAATAGCAGATCTGTAACAGTTGTCTCAGCCAAAGGAAAATCTTTGCATAAAGACAGGTAAAATAATTTAACTGATCCTCAATTATGCTAGAGCATGTATTGTTCTGGGAGGGAGAGAACAGAATAACAGGTTTGTTGGTGCATGATGTAGTGTCTAAAAGGACAAAGCTGCTCACACCTTCAGATCTGCTTTCTCCCAACATGTTGACTATTTAGCTGATTTGATTGCTTGAGTTGTCTACAGCTGTCATGGTCCTTTGTTTTTGTGGGGAGGTCTGTGGCTTTAGTGTGCATCTTGTTTCAGGTTTCAAGAGTTGTTTTTGTGCTGGTAACCCATGAGATTATGGCAAAGAGAGCATTAATAGCAGCAGTAAGAGCTCCATCTCTTGGCCAATGGAAGACAATGTAGACCAAGTGGTTTTGGCAGTCATAAAGATATGCAGTTTACTGATTAAAATTATAAAGGAAATGACCAGAAAAGGACATTAAATCAAGCGGTGACAATGTATGCTAACGGGGAGAAAATATGCCATTATTTTTGTGGAGAAAGAAAAGAAAACAATTGTTGATAGCAAACAATGAGGAGATGAAGAGTAAACTTGTGACCTCACAGGAAAAATAGAAGTGAAAATTGAGGAAAATTTATTTTGTATGGAGCAAAGAAGGTGGAGAGAGAAAATAAAAATACACAAGCAATATGCAAATGGCTGCCAAAGGCTATCTACTCAGAAACACATTGATACGACATTTAATCAGCCAGTGGCTTAGACTGTCCCCACTTACAGAATGTTATGGACCAAAAATAAGAATGCCTGATGCATTTCTCTTGCAAGAAAGGGGCAGAGCTTTGTTTGCAGTTACAGGCTTGGAGTGAAATCCTGGACCTACTGAAGTCAATGGGAGTTTTGCCATGGATTTCAGTAAGGCTGGGGTTTTACCCTTGAAGATTAGTTGTTCTATCTGTAACTTGTCATTATTGATGATAGGGCTATGTAAATACTTGGTTGAAGAGAAACTGTTGCTCCAGTTGTTCATCCACTGTGCTCTTTCAATTGTCTGATTAAAAGGCCCAGGTTATGTACTGTGACTAAATGGTCCAATACACTCTGAGACCAATCAGCTTTAGATTGCTAAAGGGCCAGTGAAGTGGCAGCTGCTAGAGATGTTAAATGACTTCTGGGTTCTGAAGCCTATGACCTCAAGCCTCTCATTGGACTAATAGCCTACTTATGTGCTTCCTGTGCAGTCTTTTTTGCTGTCATTCAGATTGTAAACCCCTCAGGATGGGGCTGTCTATTACACATTTGTGTAGCCCCTGGCACAATGGAGTCCTGATGGTGATCATAGTAACTTTTTACTGAGTCATCCTGCTTCTCTTCCAGTGACTTTAGTTGCCTGTAAAGGTTTGGAAAAGACCAAGGACCAGATTCTGATCTCATTTGTACTAGTGTAAATCTGATTTCAATGGGAGTGAGGAAGCACAATCTCTCTTAATCAGTGCTCAGAACCTCACATAATCACAGTCTAGATCCAGAGTATCTCCATTAATCTCAGTGACACCACTCTGAATTTACTCCCGTGAGTGAGATGATGATCTCCACCCTGGTACTGGAAAAGAACTGTATCTGTGGCAATATGCAGCTCAGGATTTTGTTTCCTAAAACATTTAATTACTTTAATTTTTACACCTTTTTAATTCCACATGGTTTGCTAATAGCAGTAATGACCTGCAGCCCACATCATTAATTTCCTGATAGTCAGTGACAAGCTGGACGTACCTATGACTAAGGGTATGTCTTCACTAACAACTTGGGCTGTGTAGAGACAGCACCAGTAGTGGGAGAGAGCTTTCGCAGCACTGTGTAAAAAAAACAAACAAAAAAACACCATCCCCATGAGGGGAGTAGCTCCCAGCGCTGGGAGCACATCTCCCAGGGCTGGTGCACTGTTTACACTGCCATGTTACGGTGCTGAAACTTACATTGCTCAAGGGGGTGTTTTTTCATACCCCTGAGCAAGAAAGTTTCAGCTCTGTAAAGTGCCAGTGTAGACAAGGCCGAAGTCATCTCCTCTAACTGATCATTAATTGGACAGAATGTCTGATCTAGAGGACATTAATGTTTAAACCCAAGAATGTAAAAAGTTGTTTTTTTTAATTGAGAGAAACCATTCTATTGCTTCAGTACAGTAGCTAGCAAGCACCTCTATTTTCCTGCATTGTAATTATGTATTCAAAGATAAAACTAAGATCAAGAATCAAAATGAAGGGTAAAATATTCAGAAGAAAAGAAATTTTTATTTAGAATTATGACTATGTATATTTAAGGTTCTTTCTACAGTTCTGCGAAAGTTCTGTCTCCTGCACAGATGAGCTGTACCCTTATGGGAGAAAGTTCTCTTGTGCTTGAGGAGCATGTTTTTGACCACAGTTGCTTTCCTAGAGCTTTAATCAATCTTTTAGATACCCTGGACCCAGGCCATTGTGTGCTTTGAGGGTAAGGACTGAGACCTTGAACTTGATTTAAAATTCTATGGGAAGCCAGTGTAGAATGTGGAGGACAGCTGTGATGTGCTCCTGGTAGCCTGGGGTGCAAAGTTCTACACTAGCTGGAGTTTCCAAGAGCTCATGGCTTCATGCCCAGTATGTAATAACGAGGTGACTAGTTTAACATAAGAGAAATTAGCCCCCCTGCAGCCTTAGCTCTCTGTGAAATATCACTTGGTATTAAAGCAGCTGAAGGTGCACTTCCTGGAATGAAAAAGCATCTTTCTTCTGCTTGGAATGAAATGAAAGTTTTTAATCCCATGCCCCGGCCTTTGTCCTGAAGTATATCTCATACAATGTGGATTGGGTCATAACTCTAGCCCAAATGTACTACTCGTGTCCTACACACACGCACACACACACTCTGTGTCTCTGTCTCTGTGTGTATGCGTGTGTGTGTGTGGGGTGTATATATACATACATACACACACACACACATATAAGCTCCTTTAGTGCTGTGGGAGGTACTGAGTGCAGGAGAGTCGACGCCCATGTACCCTTTTAAAGTGTTTGCTGAAAGTGGAAACATTTGCTCTTGCAGCCTGTTGCTCCTTCCCTTCTTTGAGTGAAAACAATTTGCATGAGGGCAGTGGTGGGGTGATTGTGTGAGACAGAACAAACATGGAGGAATACAGCAGAATAAATTCTGGAAAGAGGAAGTGAGCTGAGCTCTTTGCAGCTCATTGTCCCATCCTCCTGGGCCAGCACTTGTTCCCAGGGGGAGGGAGAACAAAGGAGGCATAAAGTATGAATAGCTCTACAGCCCAGAGGGCATGCTGTGCTGTTTCTCCTGCTCTGGCTTGGTCTACACTACAAAGTTAAATTGATGTAAGTTGCCTTGTGCCAACCAATTTGTGTATACGTCTATACACAAATCTGTCTCCGGCTGACATGAGCGCTGCATTGCAGTGACGTAGTAAAACAACCTTCCCAAGCAGTGTGGAGCCATGGTCAAGCTACTGAGGTTGACACAGTGCAAGTGTAGACACTGTAACCTATGTCAAATTTTACAGTCCTCCAGTTGCTATCCCACAACACCCCTATTCCCTGCCTGGGGGTCACAGAGACATGCAGCCATCTCTCTGCCCTTTAAAGTCCCCTATGTGTTTCTGAAATGTCTTTTCCTGGTTGCCCACTTTAGCAAGCATGCCTAGCAGTTCACTCTTGTTGTGTGCAACTGTCCAACACTCTGCCAGCTCCACATACTAGATGTGCTGCTCTCTGGAGTAGACATAAAGGTATGGGATCTCCTGGGCTTGTGGGGAGAAGAGGCTGTGCACGGAGAGCTATGGAGCAGCCGTAGACACCCGGATATCTATGCACAGCTGGCAGAGGGGTGCAGGCAGAAGGGTATGACAGGTAGCAGCAGCAGCGCTGCATGAAAGCAAATGGACATCACCAGGGATACCACAAGGCCAGGGAGGCCGACAGTAGAACTGGTGGTGCCCTAAAGAAATGCTGTTTTTAACAAGCTGATACACATGGGGATGTCCCTTTTATCCTCCTGAGAGATCTTGATCAAAGGTTTCTAATGATGGCTACCTCATTTCTTCCTCTGTGGTAGGAGATTTTCCCATACCACTTCCCAGTGAGTCTGAGTGTCACCATTGCTGTAAAGAGGCTAGCAGCATGCAGGCCCGGGTGGCTTTGGGACGCTGTAGCAGTTGTGTTTTCTCTGCCTTTGTAATCCTCAGAAGTGAGAGGTCTGCTAAAATCACCACTGCCTGTGGAAGATGGTGACAATATTCAGTGCCATTGACCTATAGCCCTACCCACGGAGCAGAGACCAAAATGGTATTGCTGCATGCAACAGAAAACCCTTACCCCAGTGGGTCACACTCCCCGTGCCGGGTGCTGGAGAGTGGTGCTGTGCCATGGCACTCCGCACCTGAAGTGTTAGGTGTTTATGGGAGTAGGGGAAGGGAGCTTTGAAACTTCTTATTCCCTTTCCCTTGTGACTGTAAATGAACCTGTACATCTGTCTTTTTATCAACAGCTTCTGGAGTGGCAGCGATGAGAGGTGCCCCCTCCACACAGACAGAACACCTGACCCTGATGAGGAGGAGAAGGAAGAGGACTATATGGAGGACATGTACTGCAAGATCCTGCAAGTCAGTGCTGCATTGGACCAGGAACAAAGGGCTTGGAGGGCCAATATGATCGACAGCATGGAGAAGGAAAGAGAAGACAGGAGAGAGACCCAGGCATCCCCCCTCACTCTTCTGCAGACTAAATAAGCCCAGTTCCCTCAGTCTCTCCTCATAAGTCATGTGCCTTGGCCCCCTAATCATTTTCATTGCCCTCTGCTGGACTCTCTCCAATTTGTATACATCCTTTCTGTTTTGGGGGGCCCCAAACTGGATGCAGTACCCCAGATGTGGCCTCACTAGTGCCAAATAGAGGGGAATAATCACTTCCCTCGATCTGCTGGCAACGCTCCTACTAATGCAACCCAGTATGCCGTTAGCCTTCTTGGCAACAAATGCACAATGTTGACTCATATCCAGCTTCTCGTCCACTGTAATCCCTAGGTCCTTTTCCGCAGAATTGTCACTTAGCCAGTCGGTCCCCAGCCTGTAGCAGTGCATGGGATTCTTCTATCCTAAGTGCAGGACTCTGCACTTGTCCTTGTTGAACCTCATCAGATTTCTTTTGGTCCAATCCTCTAATTTGTCTACGTCACTCTGGATCCTATCCCAACCCTCCAGCATATCTGTCTTCCCCCCAGCTTAGTATCATCCACAAACTTGCTGAGGGTGCAATCTATCTCATCATCCAGATAATTAATTAAGATGTTGAATAACACCAGCCCCAGGACTGACCCCTGGGGCATTCTGCTTGATACCGTCTGCCAACTGGACATCAAGACATTGATCACTATCCGTTGAGCCCAACGATTTAGCCAGCTTTCTATCCACCTTATACTCCATTCATCCAATCCATACTTCTTTAATTTGCTGGCAAGAATACTGTGGGGAACCATATCAAAAGCTTTACTAAAGTCAAGGTATATCATGTCCACTGCTTTTCCCCATGTTCACAGAGCCAGTTATCACATCATAGAAGGCAAGTCAGGCATGACTTGCCCTCGGTGAATCCATGTTGACTGTTCCTGTCTCTAAAGTGCTTCAAAACGGATTCCTTGAGGACCTTGATTTTTCCAGGGACTGAGTTGAGTCTGTAGTTCCCCGGATTCTCCTTCTTTCCTTTTTTTTTAAAGGTGGGCACAATATTTGCCTGTTTCTTTCCATCAGAACAAAACCAATTTGAAATATTGAAATCCTCAGGGAATTGGAGTTACCTTTCTCTGCCCAGCTCTACTGCAAGGCTTGTGAAAGCATAAAATATTCACAGCCAAGTGTAAGTCATGCCTAGATGAGATTAGTGCAATTCAGTCTATTTCCTATTTCTAACAATCAGAGGGCCTGCAATTAGTAGGTTATTAACTGGTGGGCAGTAGGATTTCAAGTAATTACATTAAATTATTGGGGTACTGTAAGAATTGGAGTTTAACTCCAATGAGCTAGATTAATCCCTGCAGCTGCCTATCTGCACTAGGGGAGAGAAGCTGTAATTCTCAAGAGAGTCACTGCTTAGGAAAGCAGACAATGTTTTTGTAATTGCTTTCCCTCAGGGATTCTACCAAAGAGAGACAGTTTTCTAAATTTACAGCTGAGACTCAGTGGACTCCAAAGGAAGTGATGAATCAGTGCATTTCCCAACCAACCCCCTCCTTGGCTAGCTCCTAGGACTGGTTCAATGCCTATACCTATAAATAATTAAATCCATATTTACAATGTAGCGCACACTCTCTCTCTCTCGCCAATATAATGCAGTGTTGACAGGGTCTAAGGAGAATGTACTACCTATTTAAATAGTATTTTAGAGTAATATTTGTCCAGTTCTTATTTTTGTCAGAACCCACTCATCTAACTAATCCCCTCCACACAAAAAAAATATGTATTTTTAAAAATCTAAAGAATTTTACTATCCAGCACCTTTGTATGCATCCATCCTATGTGTGCCCTTCCTACTCCAGCTGTTCAGTTACACACCCAAGAGGGACCCATTTTTAATATTTTAAGTTCTTTTCAAAGGAATCCTGTGGAAATTCTGTATATGAAGAGGATGTACTGCTCTAAATATAGGCCAATTAGATAAATAGACTTAAAATAGCATCCAGGGGGTACAGTAGGGACCAAATCTTCCATTACCCAGCTGCAGAATTGTCATGAATGTCATGGAATGGCTGCAAAGCTGAAAGATCTTGCGACCCTTGTGTTCCCTGGCCTGAGGACTGAGGTCTGGAGATTCTGTGTAGTGAGGGATCCACATCCAAAATGCCAGACAGGGAGTCCCCATAAAGCAGGGCTCAGTGCTGAGTAGGGGATGCTCAGTGGTTCTGCTCACAGAAGACCGTGGGAAGGTCATGCAAGGTCTGTGAATGAGAGCCACCGAATCAGTCTCCTAAATCCCAGCCTTGTGTTTTAGTCAGAAGATATCCTTCCCCTATCACAGCTTCATTTAGCCATAGGGTCACCAAAAGCTGTTGAGAGGTGTTAATAGAAATAAAACCTGGAGAAGAAGCCAAGTAGTTAAGATGAGCTTATTAAGGCTCCAGTAGATAGTACCAGTGACTAAAAGGAGTATACAGGTACCTGTCCCAGGTACTCCATGTACATTTCCGGGGGGCATACCTTAGAAGTCATTAGACAGTTGGGATCAAGAACCTACATGAATCAAACAGGACTTGTAGGGAGGGAGAGAACACAATTAAAATCCCCACCAGAATACAATTATTTTTTTCCAGACCAAAACTATGAAACTAACTTCTACTATAATTTGGCCTCAGGACAACTATTTCCTACATGGAGGAAAGCCATGAAAAACAGTTGGGAGCAGCCTCAACAACACAGTTGTACGCAGAGCGGGGATCCCTGAATGATGGAATCCTAGGATCTTCCAAGGCAGCATGGAGTACTGGAGCAACAGAGCATCCGGTGAAGTAACAGTCAATGGGTAGTCAGAAGAATTTGTGTAAAGCATTTTCTCCACATGCTGGTTTTAAATATGTATGTAAACAATGCTGTGGCCCCCTAGCTTCCATGAAATTTATGGCAGCTGTTTTCACTGAAAGGCTTCTTTTCATTTGAGAGAAAAACAATTCTTGCCAATAGACTGGCCTTATGGCATCCGGTGACACAAACTGATGCATTGTCCGGTGTTCAGAGCAGCAAAGGGATAATTCTGAAGGCAGCACTGAAAAAAAATTAAATAGAACTTCACTCTCCACAGACATTTTGATTAATTGACCATCTGCTTCTCCACTGTAGCTGTGATGTTTCTTGTGCAGTTCTGCCCTTAACATAAGTCATTGAAGAAATCATGTAGTGTTTAGCTACAAGAGATGTTTCTATTAAACCATCAAAAATAAATATTACATATATATTTTTATCAGATTAAGTGTGTAAATTCTGTCTGTGCATCTTAAAGCTGAACCCCTCACAATTAATTGTTAGTATCCATTAGTCCCTTAAACTGAAGTAAATGCTCTTCCGGACTAGAATGTATTAAATGTTTGTTTGTTTAGGTGAGCAATGTTTATCAAAAGAGACGCAAAACATACATAATGGAAAATGTTAGCAGAAAATGAGTTCCATAGACATTATAGAACATTATACCCTTGCTCTGCTCTCTTCCAATAACCGAATTGAGAGAATCCATTAAGACGTTTATTACAATCCACTAAGGGTCTCATTTTTATAGGGCATTACAATTCCATTAGTCTTATTATCTGACAAACTAACCAAGTCTGGATATGAAGGGCAAGTACCAAATTAGATGCTCTCACTAGATTAAAAAAAAATTTGATTTCAGCACTGGAGAAGCTGTGTATATCTGCAGTACCAAGAAAAGTAACTCATTGGTGAGGCTCAAAGAGAGCTCAGAATGGGCTTAATGCATGTTTCAGGCTAATTTGAAACACCCTGTATAGGATGTCTCAAACTAATATCTCATCTGAACATGGATGTATCATTGTTTAAAGGTAATTTGTCTACATAGCTTACAGCCTCATAGTTAGCGTAAGGAAGCTGTGAATATCTAAAATATAAGGGAGAGAAATGAATGTTATTTTCTTATATGAAGAATTAAAATGATTCTATCCCAGTCTCTCAGATAAATAAAAACCATAATAATTGGTCCAGTGACCACTTTATCAAATAAAAGACCAGCACAACTGGCAGAGAGGCAAAAGATTGAGGTCTCTATCCAAAAGAGCACGTAATTACATGCTTAAACTTAAGCGTGTGAGTAGTCCCATTTAAGTTTTTCTCATTGTATAATTAGACTGTAGAAACTCACGGCCACAGGATGTCATTGAAGCCAAGTACTTAGCGGGATTCAAAAAGGGATTTGAAATATATATGCATAACATGAATATAAGGAGTTGTAATAATTAATGCTAAATTTTTTTTGGAACAGCTATAAAATATCATGCTTCAGGACTGAGCCAATCCCTAAGGATTAGGGTAAGGATGAGATCTTCAGCGGGCGGGCGGAGGGGGGGCAGATTACCCTGCATCTGCTACTATGAGGTCTAGCACCTGGTACTGGCACTGTCAGACAGGATACTAGATTAAATGGTCCACAGTGTGATCCTGTTGGACAATTCCTATGTTCCTAAGCATGTGCTTAAGTGTTGTGCTGGATGGGGCTCTGAATGGGCATGGACACTGAATGATGCTTGCTCTTTATAGATAGTGGAAAGCTACTTGGGGAAGTGTGAAGTAGAGTAGATGGAAAGGACAGGTCAGCCTGCTATGTGTCACTGGGAGGTGAAATGAGCTCCATGTATGTAATATTAAAGAGGATAATGCAAGCAGATTGCTGACAAATTCCATACACTGATTGATGTTTTTGGAGAAAACCAATCTATTTTTTTCAGCACCAGGAATAAAAAGGTTTTGCAATTACAAGGCTTTATAAACAAATCAAAACCATTTAAAATCCTATATTAATGCAATAAGGTAGCTATAACCAACTGGTTACATGTTTTTATTTTTACCCTATGGAACTAAAATATAAATATTACTTTGCTGCCTGCAGTGACATTTTATAGTTGTGGTAAAATGTAAGTGCTGACCCCATCTGAGATATTATGTTCCAACTATATCTAATAGCACACCAGTTATTGGAAGCAACTTTAAAAAAAAAAACAGATACACACAAGCAGGAGTGCTATATTCATTTCAAGATGTTTCAAATGCTTTAGAAACACAACATGTACCTCTTGACATCTTGTGGTTTTTTTATGTAACTGCAGGGCTGATTTTTTTAAAAATGTGCTTGGAATTGTATATATTTAACACCAATTTTAAAGAACAGAAGTTTTACTAGAAACTGTAAAATGGCAAGAATAAAATGTGAAAGAGAACTATACATACAGGTGGATTTCATTAAGGCACAGAGGTCTTTATGCAAGTCCCTCTACATCACTTAAGAGTTGCTGTAAAATATGCATCATATTTACTACCTTGTCATAAGTTATCACACTTAGTTTTCAGATTTCCTAAGTCTGTAACCAAGAGTTTGATAACAGAGAATCCAACCTTACCTGGGATTCAATATAATATTTTCTTATATCATGTTCAGGGTGGTTAAAGAGCACTGTATTTTATTCATCCATATTTCCTGAATGCAAACATCATGTTTCATTGTGATCGCATGGGTTTACAGAACCTTTCCTGTCTTTGTCCATAGTTACTAAGGCTCTGATTCAGGACAGCACATAGGCATTTGTAAGAACCATAATTTTAATTTGTTATATTTCTGGTTCCAAATAGATTAACTGTTCATAAAAATGCATTAGCATAAGGTAGTTTATTCATTATTTTTACACTGCACTTTTTGTCAGTGATGGATTTACCCTCTCAATTGCTTTGAGCAGAGATTAAGAACATTTGTCCTCTGGTCTGCCTAAGGAAGGGCAAGATGTATTTTTAAAAAATACATGTCCATCCTCATCTTGATTTCCTGGCTTAATGGAATCAAATTTGGAAAACAGGCAAAACTTCAAGTATACATGAGAATGCATTGGACACTGTGTCCAAGTGATCAGAGAGGCTCCATTGGGTCAAATCAGGGAGAACCCCCCGCCCCACACTTTCTTAATGCCAGAATGTTGCCCCAGACTTTGGTGCATCCAGTCCATAGGTAGTTTTTGATGGCCAGTTATCTCCCCACTAATTACAGCCTGTAATATTTTAACATTTCTCCTTGTGATAGGATGTTCTCCCCACACTTGCCCTGAAAGGGTTAAGGGTGACCAGAGGGGCCAGTTAGCCTAGTAGGTGGCAGGCTGGGGGTAAGTAAAACGGCTAGAGAAGCCTTAGTTAGGGGAAGCTCACCTGTGCAGAAACAGGTGGGGCCTATATAAGCCAGGAAACTGGCACCAGAAAGGGCTGTTGGGAAAAACTGCAGTCACAACCCGGGAAGAGGGAGGAGTGCCTGGAGGCTGCAGTTGCTCCCTGGGAGGAGGGAGCGGTGAAGCTGGTAGATCCAGAGAAGGAAAGGAGAGCTGGAAGGTTAGGAAAGGGTTCAGGGAAATGCAGTAAGGTATGGGGTGGAACAGACTGACTACCGACTAGAGAGTTCCCTAAGCTGGAACCTAGAGTAGAGGGCGGGCCCGGTTCCCCAACCAGTCACTGGGGAAGTGGCATCAGTGGAGCAGTGTGTAGGAAGACTGCCTCAGTCTGTTTGGTAGAAGACACCCTCCCCTCCCCAGAAGGGGAAACCACAGCAGTGGCCTAGACAGAGGGCTGAGTCAGAAAGAGGCCAGAGGAGCTCCTGGAGTAAGGGAGGGGCTACAGATAAAGACTGAGGTGGAGGGACAGCTTGCACCTGTGGGGAGAGCCGTTGACCTGATGAGCTATTCCCCACATCCTCCAGGAGGAGGCACCATATCTGCGGTGATTAGAGTGCACAGTCACACTCCTGCTTTATGCCCAACAGATATTCGGGCTAACGTGTCCATCCTGATGCATCACTGCATACCACTGATCTCTACTAACAGTATTGCCTTGAACGTTGATAGTTCCATAACTTGAAATTAATTTACCTAATACATCGGTTTCTGACCATACCATTTTACTGGGGATGGAATTGTTTTTTATTGGCTGTAAAATCTGGAAACGCTGCAGTTCTCTTGACTGGAAGTCTATCGCTGTAAAGAGCTGCTGGCACCATAAGAAGAGTTTTTTACACAAGTGTAACTTCCCTTAGAGAAGAAGTGGAAAGTGGGATCTATCTTTGGGGGCTTAAGTATGTGACTCACCAGCTAGTGCACTCCCTAGTGACTGGGCATGGCATGGCAGACCCTACTCCTGTAGCTCCCCCTACTAACAACTGGTCCAGCCCTGTGGTGGTTGGGTGTGACTTGGTCCTCCGATTGGGTCACACACAGTCCAACAACTTATAGTCCTTCAACTTCATCTTGGACCCCCAGTCCCAGTGTGGACTCACTAGCCCATAGCCCCGATATCGGAGGGGTTTCAGCAGTGCTCATCGCTGGTTGTGGGGTGTCTGGAGGAGATTTGCACCACATTGTCAGTGGGCTGATAGAGGAACTTAAACCCTCCCCCTCCATTTGGTTCCACTCCAGGAACCCCTGCACAGGTACTCAGGACCTGACTACACAGAGCCATTCCTGCCTCCCTGGATGGTGTATCAACTCTCCTCTCTTTAAGCCTCTTCCCCAGCCTCATTGCAGAGCTTCTTAGCTAGGCAGCAGGTTCTGCTGCAGGAGATTTTTTTTTTTTCTTCCACTCCTCAGTGGCAAGGCAGTCCCTGGTTCAGCTGGACATTTCCTGCTCACTGCAGGCTCCTCCACTGTTCAGACTCCTGAGCAGACTCGCTTCCTGCCACATTTTTCCCACCTGTCTTGGGCTCCCTGTTGCAGGCAGGCTTTGTCTGCCGGCAGTCCCAATCAGCACCCTGACTCCTCTGGCTCTCACTCTGTGAGAGAAGCCTAGCTGATCTGTTCTCTTTCCTAGTCAGGCCCTTACTGAGCCAGGTTCTGCCCTTTTAACTCCTTCCTCCAGGTTTGACATTTACGGCAGATGTAGCAGGGTGAGGCTAATTGCATCCATAGGTTCTCATTAACCCCTCCAGGCCCAGCATGGGGTTGGTGCACCCCATCACAGTGGCACATAGTGGCTGGCAGTTTTAGAATGGTAACAAAATAGAGAGGACATGATTGAAGAGCCTTCCCCACATGTGCCTCATTCCCACCCTCATAAAGAAGCTAGGCACAGTTGCAGTCCCTGCACTTTCTTGGATGTAGGATTGCTCCTTCCTACTGTCCCTTGGGGTGCAGTAAGTAATTGAAAGAGGTTGAAGAAGGGAAAAGAAGATGAAGAAACAGGACACTGCCCAGCCTTGACCCTCATTCCCTTGCTGAGCTGGCCAGCCATGGAAAGGACCACGCACAGCTCCCTACTAAGGGGTA